AATGCTCATGTTGCTCTCTGAAAATATTGGACAGAGATAAAAATCAAACCAATATTTTTAGGAGCTCATGGATATTTAATTTTGGCCATTTGGATTAATCCGATAATTATTTGCTTTGGATATATATTGTTATATATATGAAATATGGTCCAAAAATTATGCCATTTATAAAGGAGCTCTGGAATAATATAGTTAGCCCCTGCAAAAATTGGCATAAGTAAATAAATTGATTTAATATTTTATTAAATCAAAACAAATGTCAGAAAAATTAGAAAACAAAAAAAATAAAAGAAGGAGGGGCTTACCTGGGGCTCCCCCCTGTGCAGCCCAGCCGCAGCAGGCCGGCCCAGCCAGCAGGCGGCCCAGCCCGCCCCCTCCTCTGTCGTCTTCATCCTCGACAGAGGGAGGGGAGCGTGCCCGGCGCGCGCGCGCGCCACCGCGCCACGCCACCTCCCTCCCTGCTTGCCTGGAGCCTCCTCGTCGCCCTGGGACGCCGGACGATGCCACGCAGCCCCCCCGTACCCTCTCACTCTCCCCCGATTCTTCCTCTCCTCTCCCTCGCTCTCTCTCTCCCGTGTCCGAACGCGTCGGTCGCCGCCATTCGCCATAGCCATCGCCACCGGCCTCCCCTCGCCTCCCCGACACACTTCCGAGCTCCGCCACAACCCCCTCCACCTCCTCGTCGAGCCACGAACCTCCGGACACCCTGTGTAGCCGCCGTCGCCATCGTCTTCCTCCTCGGACGCCGTCGACCGCCGACTCCGATTCGCCGTCTCCAACGCGTCCCCGGCCACAACGAGCAGCCCTGGAGGTCTGCGGTGAGCTCCGCCGCCGTTCCCCTCTCTTCTCCCCCTCGTTTCCGCGCCATAGCGCCGTTCCCCACCACGGCCGAAGCCTCTCGCCGCCGGCCATGGCGCCACGGTGGCATGAGCCCAAGCCAGCCACTCCCGCGCGCGTCACCGTGTTCCTGGTGACGCCAGGAGGCCGTAGGAGCCCTCCGCTTCCACTGCCGTGCACCACAACGCCGCGGCCGCAAGTCGCCAAGCTCCGGCCGCCGCCGCGAGCTTTGCTCCGGCGAGCTCCGGCCTTCCCCGCTCCTCCCACCTGTCCCACCAGATGCGCGAGAGCCCGGGCTACGCCCCGGTGCTCTCCGACGCCGCCCCCGTGGCCTGTTTCGCGGACGCCGCCGCGTCCAGAGGTCGCCGCCGACGACCTCGCCGGCCTGACGAGTGGGCCCCGTCGGCAGGTGATTAGCTTAGTGCTAATCACTGTTAATTAACCCCCTGAGGCTGACATGTGGGCCCCGGTGCCCCCTAACCTTTTAATTAAGTTAATTTAACCCCTGTTTAACCCCCTATCACTGACGTGTGGACCCCACACGTCAGGTTTGACCCGGACCAGCCCAGTTGACCGCTGACGTCATGCTGACGTCATGCTGGCGCAATAATATGATTTCTGGAATTAAATTGAATCAGAAAATTCCAGAAATTGTTTTAAACTTCAAAAATTCATAACAATTCAACCGTAGCTCAAATTAAAATAATTTATATATGAAAAATTATCAGAAAAATGTAATCTATCCATCTGTACTAGTTTCATGCATGACAAACCAACTTATACATGCTTAATATGAGAAAACACATTATGGCATATATAAGAGACTTAATTTAGTAATGCATTTGAACCTTTGGTTCAAATGGACTTCAAACCAAATGTTTACTAGTTGCATTAGCTCAAACAGCATCACATCTACATGCCATGTTCATGCATCATATTGTTGCATATGATTGTGTATTGATTGCCGGCACCGTTCCTTCTCGATAGGTCCTGCTCCGGAGACGTTCCAGAGCACCTGTCTGTGAAGCAGTGCCTCCTCTGTTGATTTACCAGGCAAGCAAACCCCCTTGTTCATTCCGATACAATCCTACTCTCTCGCTCCTGCTCTCAGTTATTGCATTAGGACAACAGCGATTCATCTGCTACTTTGTGCTGCGGTAGTTGAACCCATTCCTCTGCATGACCTGTCATTGCCACAGTAAATAGTTGAAACCCACTAGCATGTGTAGGAGTTGATTGAAGCCACTGATGTGTTCCTACCATGCTATGCCTGCTATTGCTTAGAGTTGTGTCAGGTCTGATTCATTGGGAATGAATTGGAGTGTTACGATATGTTCTGGTGTTGAGAGTTAAGTGTGTGAACACGATTTGGTAAAGGTAGCGGTGAGAGGCCATGTAGGAGTACATGGTGGGTTGTCTCACTGGAACCGTCCTTAAGCACTGAGTTCTATGTATGTTGTCCAATGACTCGATACTACCACACATTGGGCTCCGGGCGCTCCAAGCCCTCTTGACTTATTAACCAACTTGATCTCTGTCCAGGAGTCGCAACTAGTTTCTGGTGTTTGTAGGTAGTGTTAGTAGTCTACCAAGTGGCACCCGGCCAGGTGGGCTTGGGACAGACTAGGCACAAGTGGCACGGTGTACCAAGCGTAGATCCATCCGGCGAGGTGGGCTTGGGAACCCTGCACACATCGTTTGGGGCCGTGAGTGAAACCCCGGCCGGATCTCCTTGCGGATGGAACCCGAATAGGCGATAAACCTGGATTAGAGTCTTGTGTGGTTAGTCAGGTCGTGGCCGACACCCTCGCCAGGCTTCCGCTTGAAGGTTGCCGAGATACATGACTTGTACATGGCGGTAAGTGGCGAGAGCGTGTGTGAAGAAGTACACCCCTGCAGGGTTAACATGATCTATTCGAATAGCCGGGTCCGCGGTTATGGACTTCTTGGATGCTTACATGGTACATAGACAACTTGAAGTGGATACCCTAAAATGCTCAAGACAAGTGTGAGTGCTATGGATGGCCTTCTCGTAGGGAGACGGGGATGAATCCATAGTAGTGTATTGTGTGGTGATTAGTGGACTCGTGTGCGCCATATCACCTCAAGAGTTTCTGGTGGTCGTAGAACAGGATAGCCACAGAGTCAAAGCTGGCTTGCTGCAACTAAACCCCACATTACCCTCTTGATACAAATGCATGTATGATAGGATCTGATGTAAGTCTTGCTGAGTACCTTTGTACTCATGTTGCTTTATTTATGTTTTTGCAGCGGAGACTTTGGTCTTACTAGTGTTCTCATGGACTTCGACTAGTAGCTAGTACCTCAGCTACGATCTTGATCGGATGTTGTAGATAGTCAGGCTTTCAGCCTTTTTCATTTATAGACGTCTGTACTCAGACATGTAATGCTTCCGTTTGTTGCTTGATTGCTCTGACTGTTGGGTCATGTGACCCCTGTTTGTAATAATGCTATGATGGCTCTTCTGAGCCTTTATCTATTTGAGTTGTTGAGTTATGCTGTGATGCCATGTTGTACAACACATACTTGCATGTTATGCGTACGTGTAATGTGTATTGCTATGTGTGGGATCTGACTACCTAGTTGTTTATCCTTAGTAGTCTCTCTTACCGGGAAATGCCTCCTAGTGCTTCCACTGAGCCCTGGTAGCTTGCTACTGCTCCGGAACACCTAGGCTGGCCGGCATGTGTCCTTCTTCGATCCTGTGTCTGTCCTTTCGGGGAAATGTCACGCGATGAATACCGGAGTCCTGCTAGCCCGCTACAGCCCGGTTCACCGGAGTCCTGTTAGCCCAGTGCTACAGCCTGGATTCACTCGTTGATGGCCGACACGTTCGATGCTGGGTCATGGATGCCTGTCCCTGTAAGTTAGTGCCACTTTGGGTTTACGACTAGCCATGTCAGCCCGGGCTCTTTATCATATGGATGCTAGCGACACCATCATATACGTGTGCCAAAATGCGCAAACGGTCCCGGGCAAAGGTAAGGCGACACCCGTGGGGATACCGTGCGTGAGGCCGCAAAGTGATATGAGGTGTTACATGCTAGATCGATGTGGCATTGAGTTGGGGTCCTGACAATGGACCACCCTGTACATCGACCCAGTACTTCAGTATACCTGTAAGAAAAATTAATCAGGCCACAGTGCACATCTAAGGCCTAAGTTAAAAAACTATGAATCTGGTAACTAGCTTACTTGTTCCTTCCTACGTTCTAGGTGTACGCTATACCCAAGATACGTTCCCTCGTATGCTTAAAGAAGTTTTCTTGTATTCTAGAGGATGGACTTGATCACTCGAAGTCTCCAACCTACCACACGGCGACGACGAACCCTAGCGTTCAGCGTGACCAAAGTCGATGACGCATTGCGCCAGGTAGGCATAAGGCGGAGGAGTGCCAGCGTGGTGGATGGCTAGTAATTCATGCACTGGGTAGAGCTAAACACCGAGGCAGGAACTCCACCGACTTCACACCTTTCCAATTTAAAATATAATTTCCATTTTCAATTCAAAGTTTGATTTTGCCTTCAAGGTTTAACTGTGAGGTTTTTTTATTGCAGAATTGTTGCAAAAATCAAACTTACACATACATTCTATTGATAAATTCTATACTAGCATGCAATAGCGGAGCAAGACAACATGTCAGTTTGGATCCTTCCTTTGCTTGCTATATACCAATATTGGCATGTCAAATAATTGGATGAGGATGCTGTCGCCGGTCATTGGCTAAGAAACCAACAGGGAAAATTGTTGGGGCTGGGGTGAACCATTTTTTTCTTGAACAAGGTCCAAATAGAGGCCAACACTGAAGTCAACGTCAAACTTTTTGGCGGATTGCTCGGAGTGCCAAACCAAACAGACCATATATCTCTTCTTGCGGAGGGCACAAACCATGAGTGTTTGGGTGGGGGAGGTGGAGGGGAAAGGTTATGAAATTTCCTATCCAAGTCCTTCCATTTTATTTTTTTCAAAAATAAGTTTAAAGCTGGGGGGGGCATTGGCCCCCTCATCTTAACACACATAGCTCTGCCTCTGCTAAATATATTGGTATGTTATTTTTTTAATGTAAATATTGTATATATCAATTGGACCACCATGGCCAAAAATCCTGGCTATGCCACTGGTTCCGTGTATGACAATCGCACTACCACGAGAGAATTGTTGCTTGAACGATCTCGTTGCTGCCATGAGAAACACCATTTGCGAGAGTCAACGTCGTGTTCACGGAGCTCATCATCGTGGTCCAAATGTTTGCCGCCGCCGGCGCTGCAATGAGATGCTGGAGCGGGTTCGCTGGCGGGGCAATGTCCATCTCGCCCTCGAGCATCTTCACCACCACACCCATTGGCGGCTTTGCCTCCGGCTGCTGCTGCACGCACCAGAACGCCACCTCGCACATCCTATGCACCGTCTTCTCGTCCTCCTCACCCGCTTCGTCATAGCTCTCCACGAATTCCATTAGCTCGCCGCTCTCGTACTTTGTCCATGCCAGCTTCGGGAATCACTGCTGGCTGTCCGGCACGGCCTCGTCGAAGTTCCTCCTCCGGCCGAGGACCTCAAAGAGGAGGATGCCGAAGACTTCTCGGTGGCGCCGGCATGCATCCACATCTCCGGCGCGGCGTACCCGGGGGTGCCGCGCATCTCGGATACAGTCTTGTGCGTGTCGGCCTGGTTCAGCAGCTGCGGGAGGCCGAAGTCGGACACCTTGGGCGTGAGGCCGCTTTCGAGGAGGACATTCCCGGGCTTGATGTCGTAGTGCACGATCATGGCGATGGCGCGCGCCGTCTGGAAGCCGACGTCGCTGCTTCGGTCGAAGAGGTAGCAGTCGAGTGTGCCGTGCTCCATGTACTCATACACCAGCGCGAGCACGTCGGCGTCGTAGCAGAAGCCGAAGCGCCTGATGAGGTTGATGTGGTGCGTCCTCCCAATGGTGCCCTCCTCCGCCATGAAGTGCTCCTGCGAGGTCCTATCTTCTTGGCCGGGGTGGCGGCGCTTTTGGGCGACCGTGAGGCCGTTGGGCAGCATGCCCTTGTAGACGGCGCCGAGCCGGGCGGAGTAGCTGTTGGTGAAGCCCGAGAGCTGCTACCTGCTACGGGGTGAACCAGATGGGTTTCTCCACCGCAATCTCCTCGAGGAACCTCTCCACGGTGGCGTCCCATATCTGCGAGTCCACAGTGGCGTAGGCAGGATTTTGGATTAGGGTGGTCCAATCGATATAAAAAGTGTTTACAACACGAATAGAACATACCAATATACTAACAGAGGCCGGACTATTTGGCTAAGGGGGCAATTGCCCCCCCCCCCCCCGCGCCGGATTTGAATCTATGAAGAATTTATTCATGAAAGGGTTTAGACAGGGAAAAATTAGACTTTGCCCTCACCTTCACCCCCAACAAATTTTGTGTAGCTCCAACACTACATACTAGTATAGAATTTATTGAAAGAACGCATCGATAAGTTTAATTCTACAACTCATATTGTGTCTTCGCCTCTCCCCTGATAGATTTTGCCTAGCTTCATTACCGAGCACTAGTATATACACTACAAGAGATTAGGCCTACTGTGACGGGCCAAAAAATGTCATCGAACGGCTACTAACGTCACAAATTACACCTGAGTGACATTTTATGGGCGTCACAAGCATCGTCACAGAATCCCCGTCAGAGATTACTCCTCGTGACGCCGCGCGTGAAACAATGTCACTGAAAATGGGACCTTTGGTGACGTTCTCTAGAACGTCAACAACTTGTTATTTCTATGACGGTGGATTAATGTCACAAGTTAGGAGCAAAGATGCCATATTGTACGATATTCAATGATGGGCAACGTTACTGACTTTATGCCACATAAACACCTGCACAGATTACCCCAACACTAGAATCACTACTTTCATTATTGATGAAGATGACATCATCAAAATACATTTAGAATATTTTCAATAATTTGCAATGAATTATCAGATCCACTATATTGCAAATTCATATCACAATAAGTATTTAATTCACATCACATCACATTATATAAATAAATTATGAGCCAAATCACATTATGAAACGAAAGAGAAATCATATTATATATTCAATCTCTAAGCCAAATCATCCTCTAAACAGAAATGACAATAAAAATAACACCGACTCAAGTTTGACACGACAATAGACAAGACAATGGATTCTTGCTGAGTTGCTTGAGCCCTTAAGAGAAAACCAATCAGGTTATCTATATCATGTTGCTTCTTTTCCCAGGCTTCATTCTTCTTTTGTTGACTCTTCTTCACAGCTTCCAATTCTTCTTGATGCTTCCTTTGCATCACTTCAAATGCTATGTCTTGTGCTTCAAGTCTCACAGCTAACTCCCCCAACGCCTATAAACTGAGGAAACACAACAACATGTTGCATCTTAATGAGATGAAAACATACAAGATAAAAACGTATCACAATACCACTAAGAAGCACACAATCTACTGCAGGTATGCAGATGGGCCAATAGAACAGTATATTAGTTTGGCAAAACAAGAAGACACAAACTTGTATAAAAATTTGTCAGTCAAAAAAATTTACACCGATCCCTGCTGCACTTTTAACTAGTGTGGTACTTAAAAGTTTTAAGTAGCATGTGAATGATTAGTAAGTCCACTAGGGTAGCATATGACAATGAAATATAGTAATCTATAGAACATATTTCATAATTAGTTGCATAAGCATAGTTGTTTGATGCTTTGGTTACTACAAAACTTTAGATCAGCACATCACTACAAAAACAGATCGGTAATGTACTAAAAAATCACAGACCAAAACACAAAAATGTTTCTTTAGTAAGGAGTAACATCCATTCATCCATTCAATATACTGAACAATCTCAGAATAATGCAATATCTAGAGGTCATCACCCAACAACTACTTATTCCTATTAACTGTGTGTTTTCTCATCTCTGAATTGATTCAAACATGCTATGGATTTGGCCGTTCATCACCTTATGTACAAATACGTGCCATAAGCAACTAGTACTAGTACTGTCTCCACTACTTTAATCAATTGTGTGCTTACTCACCTTCCCCAGCAGCTGCAGCTAATTGTGTACTTGCACAATTGCACTGTAGTTGTACGATGCTTCCTCAATCTAAATATAACAAACAAAAATACAAGTTATGCACAAAGGAAGGACACGATGAGCTTAAATGTTAGGCATACACAACCACGTAAGGAATTGTCAAGTACTGGACTGTAAGAAAATAGAAAGTGGAAAAGCAACAAGCAAGTAGTACAAAGTTTAAGCTTCAGACTTTACCAACATAGCAAGGTCGATAAGATTATCTTGATATTACAAACCCAGTACTGCTACCTACGGTGAGCAGTCCATTAATGCGCCTGCTTTATAGGGGAATAAAGGAGAAACATAATAAAAGGCTATTCCACCGAGAGAAAAATACTGCAGAATAACATAATCATTTTCTCTTCCACCGAGCAGTATTAGCATCTAAATGAACCTTTTAGTATATAGATTTTTCAGCAACTACGGTATGGCCCATGATACAAGCCCACGACATATCTTTACCTTGTTAACTGTTATCACAGAATATTGACTTCTTGTGCATAGTTACTAATAAAAGGCTATTCCTAGTACAGTTTCACTGTTAATACTCTGAATGTAGAGTCTAGTCACATATTAGAGGTTCTTGAGCATGCTGGAGATTACATAATCTTGCAGCTTAAAGGGCAAACTTGAGTTGAAATTATTCATTGTAGAAATTTAGACAGTTCGGAACATACCTTTGATAAGAGCAAATGACATTGATCTTACTCCTGATCTAGATGAACTGCAACTAGGAAAAGGAGATCTCAAATAGGTGGTTAGAAGAATCAAATTCCAGATCACAAATCTTACATCGGGAAATTATGGAAGAAAAAGGAAGCAGCGAAATATTACCCTCGAGTAGTTGAAGCGGAGCAGATCTAACGGTGATGTAGCCGGGTTCCTTGCAGAGTTTCCGACCCATCTCCTAGCCTATCTGCATCATCGGGTTGCCTCTCCCAAACCTTGTATCTCCAGCCGTCGCCGTCTTGTTGGTCGCTGGACGAAACCAATCTTGTGAATCACCATCTACATCTCAAGTAGTGAGTGATTGAGGGGTGGTGAGGCAGCGTTCAGATCTTGGTGAGGCACGCGGTGAGAAACGAAGTTGGGGAAGGCGCCAGAGATGAACTGGGCGATGGTCCACAAGCCATCCATGAAGTGGCGGTGGAGGTAGCATGGAGGTCGGGCCAGGCAGCAAACGGGGCAGGTCGGCGTCGGTGTAGTGGTGGCTGGGGATGGGGAAGCAGACAAAGAGGGTGGCGGCGAACTAGAGGGCGGAGGCAGGGAGGGAATTCGGGTGGCGCGGCCGGCGGCGAGTATTTGGGGGCGCCGCCGGTGAGATGAGATTTGAGTCAGGTGCGAGTCGGTACAGTTGTATTTGGGGATTTTTTGGGCTATGGTTTTATTTGGAGGCACAGAGCGTGGGCGTGAGACCTAGGGCCAAATTAGCTGACCCGTGCTTGGAGCTGAATTCTGTTTTTTCTTCTTTTTTTTGCTTTGTGGTTCTGACTTCTTGGTGTGCCATCGTTTTAAAAGGTGGGTGATAAGAATTTAAAAAATCCCATCGACTCCCATATTTCCATTTTAACTTTTGAGATAGAAATGTAACAACATTAGCTTACGAGTGCGTCATTGAAGGTTTTTTGCATACCCACTAACTATTTATTATATTATAGTTAAATAATGTTCACTCATTTCCTCTTGGCTCCCTTATTTTCATTTTTATTTTTGAAATAAACAACATCAGCTCACGGACGCTCGGTTCAAGTTTTTGCCCAACCACTACCTATTTATAATAGAAAGAACAAAATAAGTTTTACCTTTATAAAAAAGTTAATTATTATAAGTATTTCCATGCCCACTTCCTATTTATATTATATCAAAAAAAATACAACACTCAACAGCCTTTGGAAAAACTGTGGCAAGTCCCACCGCTAACACTGATGCATGGGTACAATCGCTCAATTATCCAAGAACTAGCTATGGCGAGTCTGACTACTATACATAACATGATAAAAATGGTCTTCACACATTCGTAGTATTCAGTGACTCTAGCGGGCTTGTCATGGAAATTACCAAAATGTCACAAAAATTGGGAGATGGGTGTGCTGAAAGGTCGAGGAAATTTGGTGACGTTCACCGTCACCGATTTGTGGTAATTGGTGACGTCACCTAAAACAACATCACACATTAGGAATTTACATGACATTGTCGATCATCGTCACGAGGATTTTCGTCACAGTATGTCAATTTTGTTGTAGTGATAATTTATGAGAACATATCAATATGATTAATTTTGCAACAATTCTACAGTAAAAAAGTTTAATTTATCAATTATAAGTTTGAATGAAATCACAGTAATCATTAATCAGTTGTCTCAATTTATT